AATTATGGTTTATTAAAATTGATTCAAAATCGTGTGAAACATTATTAATAAATATTCATATCATAAATTGAAACAAGCATCACGTAATACATACATAGCTATATCTAACTTATCTTTTTTTTTCTCCTAATAATAACTCAGGCAAATATCAAACTACTACCTATTGGATAACATAACAAGTATAATTTAAGCAAACAAGTGACCAACTGAACATTCATGTATTCATATGTACTTTAAGTTTTCTTCACAGATAATGGAATTAGTGTCTGGAGTTATATCATCCCTCTATACGTATCTAGCTATCTATACTCATATCACATCATATACATATTTTAATTAATAAATGCTAATTATATCTTACTTATCATAATGCATGAAACTAATACTACCACCGACGACCCTATTTTAATAGTAGTAATTCGTACTGTAACTTATACATATATGCATTTAGTTATGTTTCTAACCTTTACAGAGAGTATAAATACATATAAGTATCGTAATTTAAGAACACTACTTAACCAGTTTTTAAGTTAAATTATATATTATGTATATTTAGCAATCTATTTATCACATACGAAGTAATAGATAAAAACAAGTTTATTATGTTTAATTATCTAAGCTAGCTTAAGCCATTTTACGTAGTACTTGATTCAGTTTATAATTCCAGGTTTTATCTTAGTTAGTCACTAATTTTGCTAATTAAAGTTTCACCCTTTACTCTTTCTTGTTAGAACGTAACTAATATCAAGTATTTACAGAATAATAGTTACGTTATAAGATAAAGAACATACAAAAATATTCATCATGTTTACCGAATACTAATATCATGTATTTAGAGCATGCAAAATATTCTAAGGCCATATGATTCTTCATCATCCCCATAACTTAACATGAAACGGGGATGGAAATTATACTTACAAAATAATATTAAAATATACATGAATTAAAACTGGGTCAGAAGTACTGACCTTATATACGAAACCTTAATGATTTTTTTGGGTCGGAAGCTATTTTTCTTCAGCTCGTTTCTACTTCTACTTCCTCAACTTTTTCTTACATAATACAAGTATATATTTTTAATAGTGGCTGGCCGCATGGTATGCATATGATGTTTTGAGATAACTAAGGATACACATATATATATATAGTATTGATCATCCGTATAGTAGAGTAGTAGACAAATGCTTGGGAGGCATAATTATTTGAACAACTATTCCTAGAGCTAGTTGGCTTATTATTGTAGGTGTAAAATATCTTTAATGAATAGACACTCAATTGGGCTGCTCATCTCTAATTAATTGATGATAATTGATTGTTATGATTTATTTTAGAAGTGTCTGAATTATTACTTAGATTAGTCCAAAAGCTCATTTAATATTTGGGACACCTATGTTTATCACTACTGTAGTAATACGTATTGTTTATTTATAATGTAGTTTAAATGTGTTTAGAATAGTAGAGTGTTAGTACGTACTTAGTTTATTATTGACACTTCTTTTTTAATAAAATTATACTTTATATATACACAAAGTAGGAGCAGATATTAAATTTGATAAAGTAAATTATTCATAGGTACCTTAACTACTAAACCGGATTTTTGGGGTGTTACAATTCCGCTCACTCGAACCCTGTTAATCATAGAAGACACGAGGAGTATGCTAGATTTCCAGTGAATACGGGACACAAGGTTAATTTTCCCTTGTTCAACGGTGATGGAGCTTATAACTGGTTGGTCAGGATGGAACGGTACTTTAGATTGAATCATATTACTGAGGAAGATAAACTGGAAGTTTCTGTAGTGGCCATGGAGGACAGGGCTCTGAATTGGTGGGAACATCAGACTGAGGAGAAGAACTGGGAGTCACTCAAGGAATCCATTATTCGTAGATTCCAACCGGACCTTCTACAGAATCCTTACGGACCTATGTTGAGCTTGAGGCAAACTGGAATATTTATCCTTTTGTTTCTAAGTTGGGCATAGGGAAACAATATAGAAAAAATTCATAGGGCTCTCAGTCATCTTCTCCTTTATTGCCCTACACTGTCTATCATCTTTCTTCTTTCTGTCTCTTTCAGAATGCCTCAACTTCAGCCCTCAATATGTGCTTTTCCAACTATTCGACATGGATAGAAATCCATTGTTAGAACACAGTGAAAAACATCACAAAGCAATGGCATAAAAATCCATAAACATAGCAATTGAGACAATGACTGCACACGTGCAATCATACAGAGGCATCCATTTCCTTGAGAACTTGTGTTTTTACCCCTAAAAGGACTTAAAAAAGTTATGCATAATAAATCTGGAACCTGATTTTCACATGATTTTATTTCTAACTAATATAAAAATTTCTAGGACGTTGGGTAAAACTGGCAGTTCATTACTACTATAGTGATATAGTCAATAGATCCCAAATTTATTTTACCTTTTTAAGTCCTCCTCTCTATACTTTTCAGGATTAGCCCAAACATATTTATGTACTTTTCAGTAGGAATAAAATTGTGATTTTCACTATTCCATTAGTTATAAATCTTAATGTGAACCTATACTTATGATACTTTCTCTCAGTCCAAAATTCTTCTCACTTTGTTTTATAACTATTAGATAAAAGTGATGTGATTTGTTATCATTATCTGGTCCAGATGTTTCTGCTATCTGAAATACAACATAACTTTGGGAAAATACGTTGATCTTGTTTGATTTTCTCATACTTTCTGAATATTTGTGGGCTGATCTAGAACTCTCTCACTTGAAAACTTTAGTTGTTTTACTAGTTTAGTTTAGTATACAACAAATTTTTAAGGTAATAATTTTCTTACTACATTGTTAGCAATACTTTTATTTCTTTCAGTTATACTCCCTCCGTCCCATAAAATAGTTCCCGCATTGACTTGGATCGGAGTTTAAGAAAGTGGGAATAAAGTGGAAATGTATGGTTGTGTAAGAAAAAGGTAAATAAATGTGAGCCACACAAACTTTCCATAAAGGAAAATGAGAACTATTTTTTGGGACGGCCCAAAAAGGAAACCGGGAACTATTTTGCGGGACAGAGGGAGTAACAATTTTTTAAAATATCTATACGGTGTCTTGTCGAAGCGCTTATGGATTGATGTTCTGTTCTGAGTGAAGCACGTAGTGTTGATAGCTTCAGCCCACATGAAGTGAGGAAGCTTTGACTGTATTAGCATAGAGCGTGCGACTTCAACAAGTGTCTGGTTCTTCCTTTCAACAACTCCGTTCTGTTGAGGAGTTTTCGCTGCTGAGAATTGCTTTGTAATACCCTGAGTTTCATAGAAATCAGTGAGAGACTGATTCTTGAACTCGATACCATTGTCAGTTTTTACTATTTGCACACTCTTCTGCAGAAAGTTCTGTATTGTCCTGATGAAGGTTATAATTACGTCTGCTGTCTCATCCTTGGTCCTCAGAAATTTGGTCCATGTGTACCGAGAGAAGTCGTCCACAATGACCAGAGTATATTTGCGTCCGTTTATGCTTTGGACTCTCATTGGTCCACACAGATCCACGTGAAGTAGTTGCAACGGTCCGGAGGAGGATGAAACAGGTTTCAACTTGTGGGAGCTCCTCTTCATCTTGCCTAGTCTGCAGGCATCATAATGATTGTCAGTAGAAGTTTTCAGCGGAGGCAGCCCTTTCACAAGTTTCTTAGAGGACAGTATGGTGAGATATTTGAAGTTGAGGTGAGATAAGCGTCTGTGCCATAGGTTGTTTTGTTCAGAGGAAGCTTTGGACAACAGGCAGATGGAAGAAGTTGATTGCACACTCTTCAGATCAATGGTGTACAGGTTGGAAGTCCTTGTGCATGTCAATAACGTCTTCCCAAACCTGTCTAGCACACAACATTGTCTGGCTATAAACTTCACTTCCAGGCCGCTATCACAAAACTGTCCAATACTTAGCAGGTTATGCTTCAGTCATTTGACATAGGATACAGCCTTAATGGTGACGCTTGCATAGATAACATCCCCATATCCTAGGATTGGAGATAATGCATTGTTTCCGAATCTCACGTTTCCTCTGTAACATTTCGTGGGTTGAGCAGCCAGAATCCAAATGCCACACATGACCATTCTGCAAAAATAGATTAAGGATTTTTAGGTAACCACCTCAGGATGGGTCCTTCCTTATCAATCGAAAACATCTTTTTAAATTTTGTTTTGAGCTGTGATCCAAGGTCAGCAGCTTTTCCAGATAATGTTCTATGTTTCTTAAGTTCAGCTTTTGGGGTCCATTATTGTGTGATTTTAGGAGCAGAGAAGACATGGTCATTGCGTGTGAATGGTTGATTCGTGAGGTATGATTTGAAAATTTCTTCCTTAGAGAGTCTTTCTAAATGTTTCTTTGAGTGAACTTTAAGAGGATATTTTAAATTTGGAAAATTATAAACACCCTCTACAGCTCTATTCTCCGACTATTTTCTTTGTTTGTGCTCTCTTCTTACTCTCACGAACAACATTCTCAACACATTCATGATTATTCATATCAAAACAAACATTTCCTCGACCAGGATCATACAAATTATCATTGCAATAGAGAGAATCAAGAGTAAAATCAGAGTCATTCAGCTCGGGACACGAAACTGAAACAGAACTACAAGGTTGTGACAAAGAACTAGATCTACATTTATTTGAGTAAAAAAAAGCACTAGAACAAGACTTCTTGTTTTCAACAAAATTCATTTTCTTCTTCCCTTCAGCTATTTCAGCTTTCTTCAGCCTTCACACTCTTCTCCTCTCCAATCTCCTACTTACTTCATTTCCTGTTTTCAAAGGAGATGTGGAGTGAGTGGGGGTCCTGTTAAGAATGTTAGTTTTGTTCAGAATTGGTTGAGAAGTATCAGTATCACTCGATGTAACGCCCTCTCAGGGTTAAAGGAAACGCTACACAAACTTACTACTTCTTAAAAATAAACTGCAATATAACGGCCGTTTGTTTAAGAAATAACCCTGATAAATTCTCAAATATAACTAAAATTTAACTCCAAATAAAACTCAATAAAATTCTAGTTATCACCAGCAAATGTAATAACACCTGGATCCAGGAATTTATTCAAACTTCAAATAATCGAAATAAATACTTCAAACTTAATCAAATAATATCAATCACTTTTTATAAAACTGAAACACTTCAATAGAATAAACTAGCTAGGAGCCGCCAAGGTCGTTCCCGTTAACTCATCTTGGCACGCGTCCCACTCTCTCATCGTCTTCCTAGGCCTTGGCCTTACCCTTAGTATCTGTACATGCGAAGAAAGAAACTGATAAGCTTTACGCTTAGTAAGTCACTATGAATCCACAAAAATATCTAGAAGTCTAGACCAATTTATCAATAGATAAATTTAGGCTATAAGCATGCACTGAACAATTAACTAACACATAACAGTATTACCTAGTCACATCACATGACATGAATCGAAATATGAATATCGCTACAGCTAGGTCGTCGCCCGTAAGCGACGCGTCATCCCTCCGCCTGGGGGTGGTGTCAAATATGCAAGGGTGCGCTACACTTCATAGGCCTGGGTGTGGTGATAAGAATGCTAAGGTTGCTAGGTCGTCGCCCGGAAGCGGCGCGTCATCCCATTGCCTGAGGATGATGTCAAATATGCACGGGCATGGTGGGGTCCGAGGCGGGGCTAAGAACATAAGGTGGAGTGCTAGATTGCGCTTTGGGACGTGGAATGTTGGGTCTCTTACAGGCAGATCTTCCGAGGTAGTCGAAGTTATGAGCAGGAGGAATATCAGCATTATGTGTGTGCAAGAAACTAAATGGGTTGGAGAGAAAGCACGTGAGATTAATCCTGGAGGTTTTAAGTTGTGGTATTCGGGGAGAGATAAGACCAGGAATGGGGTAGGCATTATTGTGGCGCGTGACTATGTTGAAGATGTGGTAGAAGTCTTCAGGAAGAACGATCGTATCATGAGCATTAAATTGGTGATGAGGGGTGAGATTGTGTCTGTGATAAGTGCCTATGCACCACAAGTGGGATTGGATGCATCTACGACTCAACAGTTTTGGGAAGATCTTGAAGAAGTGGTGCGGCGAGTGCCAAGGGGAGAGAAGTTGGTCATAGGAGGCGACCTCAACGGGCATGTGGGCTCGAGCCGTGATGGCTTTGAGAGTATTCATGGCGGACATGGTTTTGGCACTAGAAATGAAGCAGGAAAGAACATTTTGGATTTTGCCTCGACGTATGAGTTGGCTATAATGAACACTTGGTTTAGGAAAAGAGACTCTCACCTTGTAACCTATAGAAGTGGAGCTAATAGTACCCAAATTGACTACTTCTTAGTACGGACTACTCGGAGAACTAGCTACACCGATTGTAAGGTTATCCCAGGTGAGAGTGTTGTCACTCAACATAGGATGCTTGTGCTTGACTTTCGAGGTAAGAACCATAGAAGACAAGTTAAGCAACAAGTGGAGCCAAAGATAAAGTGGTGGAGGCTTGAGGGAGATCTTCAACAAAGCTTTGCACACAAAATGTTCGGTGAAGATGTATGGCGTATTGATAATGGAACACATGTGGAGGATGCGTGGTTATCGATGGAGCTGACCATCAACAAAGTGGCAAAGGAGGTACTTGGAGAATCTAAAGGATGTCTGCCACCCAAAAAGGACACGTCGTGGTGGAATGATGAGGTGAAACAAGCCATAAGGAACAAAAGATATTGCTACAAAAAGCTGGGGACAAGTCGGAGTGATGAGAACATAGAAGCATACAAGGAGGCTAGAAGACAAGCAAAGAAAGCCGTAAAGGAATCACAAGGGAAAGTGAACAAGGAGTTGTATGAAAAATTGGACTCTAAGGAAGGAGAACAAGATATCTATAAACTTGCTCGTCTTCATGATCGTAGGACTCAAGATATCGGAAAAGTTAAGTGTGTGAAGGATGTCGATCAAAGGATATTAATGGAGGACAGAGAGATAAAAGAGAGGTGGAGGTCATACTTTGACAAATTGTTCAACGGGAACAAAGTGCAAGATATTGGTGATTTGACCATACCAGATTGTATGGTAAATCGTGATTTTGTGAGAAGGATCCAACCAACGGAAGTTAAAGAGGCTCTGAGAAAGATGGGGCGGAAGAAAGCAGTGGGTCCAGATGGCATACCGATTGAGGCTTGGAGAAGTTTGGGAGAGAGAGGCATCGAGTGGTTAACAAATTTCTTCAACAAGATTTGGAGAAACAACAAGATGCCAACGAGTTGGAGAAAGAGTACTCTTATTCCCTTATTTAAGAATAAAGGTGATGTACAAGAATGTGTCAACTATCGAGGGATTAAGCTTATGAGTCATACCATGAAACTTTGGGAGCGAGTGATTGAGCAAAGACTTCGAAGAACAGTGAAGATTTCAGAGAATCAATTCGGTTTTATGCCTGGTCGCTCAACAACTGAGGCTATTCACCTTCTTCGGCAACTTATGGAGAAGTATAGAGACGCTCACAAGGATTTGCATTTAGTGTTCATTGACTTACAAAAGGCATATGATAGGGTACCTCGAGAAGTTCTTTGGTGGGCCTTAACTAGAAAAGGCATTTCATGGAAGTATATCAGCATCATCATGGATATGTATGAGGATTGTACTACAAGTGTCCGTACTAGTGTAGGGAGGACTGCGGAGTTCCCAATTACTATCGGAGTGCACCAAGGATCGGCTCTGAGCCCTTTTTTATTTGCCATAGTCATGGATGAAATTACAAAGTCAATTCAAGATGATATACCGTGGTGCATGATGTTTGCCGACGATATTGTATTGATTGATGAGACACAATCAGGGATTAAAGCAAAGTTGGAAGTATGGCGACAAACATTGGAGAACAAGGGTTTCAGACTAAGTAAGAGCAAGACAGAGTACATGGAGTGCAAGTTTGGTGGAGGTAGAAGCAGTGGTAATAGCGGAATTACTTTAGATGGTAAGGAGATACCGGTCAGCGATATGTTCCGTTACTTGGGCTCCATAATTCAGAAGGACGGTGAGTTAGATGGAGATGTATCCCATAGAATCAGAACAGGGTGGATGAAGTGGAAGAGTGCGTCAGGATTTCTATGTGATCGAGGTATGCCGACTAGACTGAAGGGTAAATTTTATAGGACAACAATTAGGCCTGCACTACTGTATGGCACGGAGTGTTGGACGGTGAAACAATGTCACATTCAAAAGATGAGTGTGGCAGAGATGCGCATGCTGCGTTGGATGTGCGGGCATACTAAAAAGGATCGTGTGAGGAATGAGACAATCAGACAAAGGGTGGGAGTAGCACCTATTGAAGATAAGATGCGGGAGTCGCGCCTACGATGGTTTGGTCATGTGCATAGGAGACCGATTGATGCACCTGTTAGACGAGTGGAGATGTGTGGAGAAGAGGCAGGGAAGAGAGGGAGAGGAAGGCCCAAACAGACGTGGGCTAGGGGAGTCAGAAGTGATATGCTTCTTCTTGGATTGGATGAGAGTATGGCTTTGGAGAGAGCGAAATGGAGGGCGGGTATTCGTGTGGAGGAGTGATATTGTATCATCTTTTCCCCTCTTTTCTTCTTCTTCTTCTTTTTCTTTTTCTTTTATATTTTTATCCTTATATATAAACATTACTTTATCATTTTATTTTATCTTTTATATTTATATTCATCTATTTTATATTATCTTTTTTATAATAGTTTATCTTTTTTATCTTTATTTCCTTTCTTTTCTTTTGGATGATATCATGTATCGATTCATGTTAGCCGACCCCAATATCGTTTTGGACTAAGGCTGGGATGTTGTTGTTGTTGTATAACTTCTCAAATACATTCTGAGGGAGATCTCAAAAACAACTTTCTGAAAAAAATCTCATAAACTTTCTGTAAAACTCTTTGTGGCTAATTTTACTCTGTGGGCCCATGATATGTACTCAAAGGCGCCAATCCGACAGTTCAGGGGAGCGACCCACTAAACATATCGGACTCTCTGAAACTGATAACTGTGTAACTCTGTGAGAACTTGTTCCCGAGTACATATCACTTAATCTTTCACTTTAAGTTTTAATTTTTTTCTTTTCATGATGACGTTTAAATAAACATCAATAAATCTGAAAACAAAAGTACTGACAAAATCTTGACTACGCCAGATAATAAACATGACTTAATACAACAAATAAATAACTCAGCAAATAATTCACCAGGTTCACATAATAGCATATAGTCTAAAATCATCTATCAAAAATCAATCAGACTTCTTTCTTTTATTTGGTTGAACAAACATGTACAGGTGGTAGTGAACTTACCTGTCAAAGCTGAACTCAAATTACTCAGATATGGATGACACCTTGATAACGTCTTCGGGTAAGCTCTTCTTAAAACTCTAAACTTAAATATATAATATAATTAGAATTTACTGGAGGAAGAAAATCCTTCCTTACTGCTAGGATCAAATAAAAATTATCACTATGTGCGCAGGTGCACCATCTCAGAAATCACGTTGCTTATGTGGTTTACAAACTGGTGCAACCTAAATTGAACCAAAAACTGAAAACTCTCCATATCAACTCCAAACTGAAACTTTCTCAATTAACGACAAACTGAAATTTACTAACTACTGACTGTTGGACGGCTACTTCATATTAACTGGTGGAAATTTACTAAACCAAAGTTTAGTTTAACATCCGAACTAACCAGCCCCTTTAAAGTCAAAATTTGAATTAAAACACTAAGGTTTAAATGCTGATTCCAAAAGAAGGATTAAATCTGCTAAATCATAAAATCACGTAGTGGAAGAATGAATAGGCTGTAGATAAAATTTTAAACCAATGATTAATTTTGCAAAATTCGCATCTCTGTTTAAGATGCCTCTAATTAAACTATAATAGCAAAAAAAAAAAAAAAAAAAAACTCAGCCACCATCACCTATACTCACAGAGGTAAGGAAGAACGATTACAGAGAAAGAAATAATCAAGCTTACCTTGAATCATAGTTGATTGAAGATGTTATAATCTGAATGATTCTGGGAGGAAGAATCTAAGAGTTCAAAGAGAAAAGAAGAGATGGAGGTAATTTAACAGAGGAAAAGGAATTCAGCTTACCTTGTTAAAGGATGCAGAACGACAATCTGATTAAATCTTTGGCCAACAATTTGAGAGTTGGAAAGAAAGCTTCCCGGATGAAAGACACGGCCGGTAGCAGCTAAGGAAAAGAGCCGATCCTCAAAGGTTTAAGGTGTTTATATATATTCTATTTTGCCTTTCTAGGGATTTGGGCTTAGTTAACTGAATTGGGCTTCTAATTATCTCCAAAAATGTTTCTAACGCATTAAAAGTATTTTCTATTTCAAAATAAACTGATTAAGCTTTACAACATTACTTCTTTTTTTCCAGTTAAAATTATTAGAGCTTACCGGTCAACGTTACCTACCAGAATAACACATGATCAAACAATAAATCACATTATTCATAAAATAAACTTATTCAGCTAACTAAATAAAATAAAAGATTAATGTAACTAGATCGCTAAATTCGGGGTGTTACAACCCCTCCCACCTTATAAAAATTTCGTCCTCGAAACTTAGAACAATTCAGGATAACGACGTTTCATGTCGTTCTCAACTTCCCAAGTCGCCTCTTCTACTTTGTCATTTCGCCACAACACCTTTAATAGAGCTATCTCTTTATTCCGAAGACGTCTGACCTCACGGTCAAAAATTTTTACTGGCTTCTCCTCGTAAGACAAATCCTGTTGCACTTCTATTGATGGTGGTATCAAAACATGCTCCGGATCCGCAAAGTATTTCCTCAACATCGAAACATGGAAGACATTATGAATGCCAGAAAACTCTTCAGGTAGCGCGAGCTTATAAGCTACCTTTCCCACTCGTCTAGTGATCTCATATGGTCCGGTGAATCTTGGGCTAAGCTTTCCTTTCTTTCCAAACCGCATCACTCCCTTCATCGGGGCTATTTTAACGAAAACATAATCCCCCACTTCGAATTCTAGAGGTCTTCTCCGAACATCTGCATAACTTTTCTGTTTGCACTAGGCAGATTCTATCCTTTGCCGGATAGTCTTAATAGCTTCTGAGGTCTCATCTATCAACTCAGTCCTCCCTTGCAGTTCCTCTTCTAGGACCTTCTTTTCTCCTGTTTCATACCATGATATGGAAGATCTACACCTTCTCCCATACAACGCCTCATACAGAGCCATGCCGATGGTTGCTTGATAACTATTATTATAAGCAAACTCCGCCAGACTTAGGTATTTCACCCATCCTCCTTGAAAATCTAGTGCATATGCCCGCAACATATCCTCCAAAATCTGGTTTGTCCTCTCTGTCTGACCATCGGTCTGAGGATGAAAAGCGGTACTAAACTTCAACTTCGTGCCCAATGATTGTTGTACGCACTTCCAAACGTGAGAGGTAAATCTGGAATCTCTATAAGAAATAATACTCTTCGGGACACCATGCAGTCTCACAATCTCCTGAATATATAATTTTGCCAACTTCTCCAAAGATATACTTGCTGAAATTGGGATAAAATGAGCAGATTTAGTCAATCTGTCCACTATAACCCATATAGCGTCATAACCTCCAGTTGTCTTCGGTAAACCCATAATAAAGTCCATGGATATCTCATCCCATTTCCACTCTGGAATCTGTATAGGCTGAAGTTCTCCACCTGGTCTTTGATGTTCAGCCTTTACTTGTTGACACGTCAAACAGGATTGGACGAATTTCGCAACATCTTTCTTCATCCCTGACCACCAAAAGTTTTTCTTCAAGTCATGGTACATCTTGGTCGAACCAGGATGCATAGTGAATGGTGTGTCATGAGCCTCCTTCATAATTTGCTTCCTCAACCCCTCGACGTATGGAATGCACATCCTGTTTTGAAGTAATAATCTTCCACTCTCATCCAAACGGAATTCGGGACATTTTCCCTCCTTGACGCACTCCTTCAACTTAACTAACTCAGGATCAAGTTCTTGCTTCATAGCTATGTTCTCAAATATTGTTGGAGTCACTGTCATAGCCGTTAGTCGCCCATTTACAATCTCTAACTCAAAATCTTCAATTTCCTTTCTCACCTTTGGATCCATTACCATCATAACCATTAATGTTGCAGAAGACTTTCTGCTAAGTGCATCTGCTACCTTGTTGGCTTTTCCCGGGTGATAAAGGATCTCACAATCATAGTCTTTCACTAGCTCAAGCCACCTTTTTTGCCTCATGTTGAGGTCCTTCTGCTTGAATATATATTTTAAACTTTTATGATCAGTGAAGATCTTGCACTGGACTCCATACAAGTAATGCCTCCAAATCTTCAAGGCATGAATCACCGCTGCTAACTCCAAATCATGGGTGGGATAATTTGCCTCATACTCCTTGAGTTGCCGAGATGCATACGCAATAACGCGTTCATTTTGCATAAGAACTGCTCCAAGTCCCATCTTCGATGCGTCTGTGTAGATAACAAACCCTTCCTTACCTTCTGGGAGTGCTAAGACGGGTGCAGATGTCAACCTATTTTTCAGCTCTTGGAAACTCTTCTCACAACGATCAGTCCACTCAAATTTCTTACCCTTACGGGTCAAGGTAGTCAATGGAAGAGCTATAGCAGAGAAGCCTTCCACAAACTTCCTATAATACCCCGCAAGGCCTAAGAAACTTCGAACTTCTTTCGCATTCTTTGGCCTGCTCCAATCTTGAACAGCCGCCACCTTTGAGGGATCCACCGAAACTCCCTGCTTTGAAACTACGTGGCCAAGGAATGCTACATGGTCAAGCCAGAACTTACACTTTGAAAACTTAGCATATAGCTTATGTTTTCTCAGTGTCTCCAGTACTTCTCTCAAGTGTTCTTCATGCTCCTTCTTTGACTTTGGGTAGATTAAAATATCATCAATGAAAACAATGACAAACTTGTCAAGAAACTCCTTGAATACTCTATTCATCAGATCCATAAACGCCGCTGGAGCATTAGTTAGGCCGAAAGGCATAACCTCAAATTCATAGTGTCCATACCGCGACCTGAACGCTGTTTTCGGGATGTCTTCTTCTTTGATTCTTAGCTGATGATACCCTGAACGAAGGTCAATCTTGGAGAAAATCATCGCGCCCTTCAACTGGCCAAACAGGTCATCAATCCTAGGCAGGGGATACCTATTCTTGATAGTCACTTTATTGAGCTCTCTATAATCTATGCACAACCTCATTGTGTCATCCTTCTTCTTCACGAATAATACTGGAGCTCCCCACGGTGAGTAACTGGGTCGAATGAAACCCTTCTCTAGCAACTCCTGTAGCTGCTTGTGGAGTTCCTGTAACTCCGTTGGGGCCATTCGATATGGTGCTCTAGATATCGGTGCGGTACTGGGCAGCAACTCAATCTCGAACTCAATCTCTCTACTCAGTGGTAATCCTGGAAGATCTTCGGGAAATACATCATTGTAACCCATCACAATTGGAACTTCAGAAAGCTGGGTGAGTTCCCCTGAGTTCTTGTCTACTATGTGAGCTAAGAAAGCTTCACATCCACTCCGAATAAGTCTCCTTGCTTGCAATGCAGAAATCATCACCTTCCCTGATCCTTTTGGTTCCCCAAGGAACAAGAAAGGATCAGACCCTGCAGGCGCAAAACTAACAATTCTTTTTCGACATATAATTGAAGCGCTATACTTCTGCAGAAAATCCATGCCGAGGATCACATCATAATCCCTCATGTCGAGCACGATCAGATCTACAAATAACTCTCTTCCTGAAATGCTCATTGGCACTGCTCGTAACCAATGAGTCGACAACATGATCTCTCCTGACGGAAGTGATGTGGTGAACTTATAATCTAACTTATCTTGATGTGCTGCTAAGGATCTAGCAAACTCAAGAGATACAAAGGAATGTGTGGCTCCTGTGTCAAATGACACATTAGCATATCTGTTTAGAACAAGTATCTGACATGTGACAACGCTGGGATTTATAGATGCCTCTTCCTTTGAGATGGTGAACACTCTAGCAACCGGGGCCTCTGGTGGTGCCTCAAGGCGTCCTTGCTGGATGGATGGTCCTTCTAGATAAGCCTGCATATTATGGACAACCGCTGAAGGTGCTGAATTTCTTGGCATCTGGACAAACTGATAGCCTTGCTGATTCTTTCTTGGACATTCTCTGGAGATGTGACCCTCTAGACCGCAAGAGTAGCAAACTCTGGAACCCAATCTGCATTGGTCGGGATGATTGCGGCCACATTTAGCACACGACGGAAACTTCACCTGCTTATTCTGGTGTCCCAGATGATGTCCAGCTCCTTTTCCATTACTGCCCTTGAAGCTCCTCTTCTTGTTATTCTTCGAATTATTCGTGTATCCCTGTGGCTGATTCTGTGGCTGTGATGACATAGGTTGCGGCTGAGCGGGCACTGGATTGGTAGGAAGGTAGTACTCCTCTTGACTTGCTATAAGGACACAGTCAACTAATGTAGCTGGGGTCTGGTTACCGTTCTCCAAGTGAACTGTTATATCCTTCCTAAGGGCTTTCAGGAACAACTTCACCTTATCCCTCTCTGTCGGAGCAGCTGTAGGGCAAATACGTAGTAGTCTCTGAAATTGTGCCGCCAAGGTTGCTACATCCATGGTTCCCTGACGTAGATTCTGAAGCTCATCCTGGTACTTACGTGTGACACTAGCATTGAAATACTGGTTGGTGAACTCCTCTTTGAACTGCTCCCATGTCATCTGCGCAACGTTATACCTTGTTTCCACAGTCTCCCACCATATTCGAGCATCCATGGTGAGGCTATAAGACGCACATCGAACCTTGTCATTATCTGCTAATTCCAAACCATTAGCAATGCCTTCAATGGTCTTCAGCCATCCCTGAGCAGCTAGAGGGTCGGGACCCCCCTCAAAATCTGCGGGCTTGATCTTCCTCCAAGTGATCATCAGAGGTTCTCGTCTTGGTGCTCCATTTCCCATAGCTTGATTATCTCCAGCATTTCCTCCACCACCGCCCCTTTGATTGTTCGCGGTCAAACGGTCGATAGTCTGTTGCTGCTCCTACAACAGCCTCTGAAGTTGCGCTACAATACCTGCCAAATCTTGCTCGTGATTGTTTCCTTGCTCATTACTGCTTCCTTGAGCATTGCTGCCACCTACTGGACGACCACGGGTTCTCCTCATTTTCGTAAGGCACCTAAATATAAACTTTTATTTATGTGCCATACACATTACTAAAACTTTGGCAATATATCCTTACTTTTATTCTCCATCAAATAAACTTTTGCTCATGTACAGAATTTAAAACTTGACTTTAAATGCTTACTTGGAAGATGATGAGCACGTGTACGATGACAAATGAAGTTACGGGACAACCTGGGCTCTGATACCAAATTTGTAACGCCCCTCTCAGGGTTAAAGGAAACGCTACACAAACTTACTACTTCTTAAAAATAAACTGCAATATAACGGCCGTTTGTTTAAGAAATAACCCTGATAAATTCTCAAATATAACTAAAATTTAACTCCAAATAAAACTCAATAAAACTCTAGTTATCACCAGCAAATGTAATAACCACCTGGATCCAGGAATTTATTCAAACTTCAAATAATCGAAATAAATACTTCAAACTTAATCAAATAATATCAATCACTTTTTATAAAACTGAAACACTTCAATAGAATAAACTAGCTAGGAGCCGCCAAGGTCGTTCCCGTTAACTCATCTTGGCACGCGTCCCACTCTCTCATCGTCTTCCTAGGCCTTGGCCTTACCCTTAGTATCTGTACATGCGAAGAAAGAAACTGATAAGCTTTACGCTTAGTAAGTCACTATGAATCCACAAAAATATCTAGAAGTCTAGACCAATTTATCAATAGATAAATTTAGGCTATAAGCATGCACTGAACAATTAACTAACACATAACTTCTCAAATACATTCTGAGGGAGATCTCAAAAACAACTTTCTGAAAAAAATCTCATAAACTTTCTGTAAAACTCTTTGTGGCTAATTTTACTCTGTGGGCCAGTGATATGTACTCAAAGGCGCCAATCCGACAGTTCAGGGGAGCGACCCACTAAACATATCAGACTCTCTGAAACTGATAACTCTGTAACTCTGTGGGAACTTGTTCCCGAGTACATATCACTTAATCTTTCACTTTAAGTATTAATTTTGACTATGACAGATAATAAACATGACTTAATACAACAAATAAATAACTCAGCAAATAATTCACCAGGTTCATATAATAGCATATAGTCTAAAATCATCTATCAAAAATCATTCAGACTTCTTTCTTTTATTTGGTTGAACAAACATGTACAGGTGGTAGTGAACTTACCTGTCAAAGCTGAACTCAAATTACTCAGATATGGATGGCACCTTGATAACGTCTTCCGGTAAGCTCTTCTTAAAACTCTCAACTTAAATATATAATATAATTAGAATTTACTGGAGGAAGAAAATCCTTCCTTACTGCTAGGATCAAATAAAAATTATCACTATGTGCGCAGGTGCACCGTTTCAGAAATCACGTTGCTTATGTGGTTTACAAACTGGTGCAACCTAAATTGAACCAAAAACTGAAAACTCTCCATATCAACTCCAAACTGAAACTTTCTCAATTAACGACAAACTGAAATTTTCTATACTAACTACTGACTGCTGGACGGCTACTTCATATTAACTGGTGGAAATTTACTAAACCAAAGTTTAGTTTAACATCCGAACTAACCAGCCCCTTTAAAGTCAAAATTTGAATTAAAACACTAAGGTGTAAATGCTGATTCCAAAAGAAGGATTAAATCTGCTAAATCATAAAATCACGTAGTGGAAGAATGAATAGGCTGTAGATAAAATTTTAAACCAATGATTAATTTTGCAAAATTCGCATCTCTGTTTAAGATGCCTCTAATTAAACTATAATAGCAAAAAAAAAAACTCAGCCACCATCACCTATACTCACAGAGGTAAGGAAGAACGATTACAGAGAAAGAAATAATCAAGCTTACCTTGAATCATAGTTGATTGAAGATGTTATAATCTGAATGATTCTGGGAGGAAGAATCTAAGAGTTCAAAGAGAAAAGAAGAGATGGAGGTAATTTAACAGAGGAAAAGGAATTCAGCTTACCTTGTTAAAGGATGCAGAACGACAATCTGATTAAATCTTTGGCCAACAATTTGAGAGTTGGAAAGAAAGCTTCCCGGATGAAAGACACGGCCGGTAGCAGCTAAGGAAAAGAGCCGATCCTCAAAGGTTTACGGTGTTTATATATATATTATTTTGCCTTTCTAGGATTTCAGCCTTAAATAGATTTATCTGGGCTTAGTTAACTGAATTGGGCTTCTAATTATCTCCAAAAATGTTTCTAACACATTACAAGTATTTTCTATTTCAAAATAAACTGATTAAGCTTTACAACATTACTTTTTTTTCACTTAAAATTATTAGAGCTTACCGGTCAACGTTACCTGCCAGAATAACACATGATCAAACAATAAATCACATTATTCATAAAATAAACTTATTCAGCTAACTAAATAAAATAAAAGATTAATGTAACTAGATCGCTAAATTCAGGGTGTTACACTCGATGATTGAGAAGTTGTGCCAGACTGAGAACTTTCCTTTAAAAGGGTCAGTTCTCTCAACAACCTCTCCCTATCACTTTCAAAACTTTTCCTTTCAGCTTCAAAACCTTTTCTTTGTTCTTCTAAAGAAATGTGTAAGTTTTCAAATTATCTGATTAGTGGAGGGATAATATAGGGTTCTTGTTCACCTGACTTTGAGGTTGAAGGAGGTTCTGGGTCCGACACAACTTCTGTCTCAGAAGGATAAGAACTAACACTCTCTTCAGATGAAGGCATAACTGAAAGGAATTTCGGCTTTAGAAGGATTTGATCGTTTTACCTCTTCTTCTTCTGCGGTTTCCTTTCCCTAGGTAAAAGCCATCAACTTGGTCAATCCTAACCCCATGTACTTTATGTCGTAAAGTTGGATACAGTCCACCTTCTTCAAATTATTGGGGTTAGAGAGACCCAGACCTTCTTTAGAGTTATAAAAGCGAGTGTCCTTATTCTGGTTTAGAAAGATGGTTTCTTCAGTCTGCCCTCTCTTGGCAAGTAAATCTTCTAATTCTTTGATTTTTGTGTAAAGAATGCATATTTTTTCACGTAAAAAGTCATTTTCAGCCTTTTCAACGTTTCGTTCTACTTCTGTGTCACGTACCTTTTTAGTTAGTTCAGCTACTTTTTGTGTGAGCTTATCTGCTTCTGACGTTAACTTCTTAACTCTTTCTTTCTTTCTTTCTTTCTCATTTTCTAATTGTATGCTCAGGGAGGTGACTTTGTCTAGACTCTCAACTAAGACTTTGTAGTTGTTATCTAACCTGTCTCTTATGTCCTTTATAATGTTATCCTTTTCTTGTAAGGAATGAACCTTGCAAGTACAGGAGCAAGAAGGTTCAGAAGTACTTACAGTGTGGTTGGAGCTTGAGCTTTCACTTTCACAAGGGATCGCACCATCACCCTTTTCTTCTTCCTTCTCAAAAATAGCCATCAGGGCTAAATTCCCCTCTTCTTCATCCTCAGAACTCTCCTCCTTCCATGGATCACTCTCGGTAAGCATTGCAGCACTATCATCATCTTGCTTGGCCATAAACATCTTCTGCTTGTTCCACAACATCTTCTGCTTGTAATAGTTGAAGTCCCTCTTCCTTGGTAAGCGACAGTCCTTGCTGACATGTCCAGCTTTTCCACAGTTGAAGCATTTGGGAGGGTCTTCTGCTACAACAGCTCTTCCAGAGGATGCCTGGTCATTGTTCTTCGTTTTGTAATTAGCAGACTAGGTTCGAAGTTTGTTGGATGAATTTCCCTTCTTGGAAAACTTCTTGATGAACTGATTGGTGAGCAGAGCCATCTTCTTCTGCAGTTCAGCCAATTCAGATTCAACATCTACTTCTTCTTCACTTTCTTCTTTCTCAGATTCACTCTTGACTGCCTTCTTCTTCTTCTTCTTCTTCTTAACCTTAGATGAACTCTTCGGTTGAGCTTCCATCATGAGTGCTAATGGGTTAGCAGAGTAGATTCCTTCCATCTCAGCAGTGTCATTCACAAACTGCTGGAGATGCTCATGAAGTGTGCAAAGGTCTAGTTCATCTAAGTCCAGGTGCTGTCTCAGGTTCTTCACCGTTCTCTTCCACTCAGGGTGCAAGCTCGACAGAAAACGTATATTCATTTCCATATTTGACTTGACAACTTTGATCTTTCTCATCTCGTTGATCAGTTGCACAAATCTGCTATACGTTTCGTGGAGCGCCTCCCCTGGTGTAGCTTTAAACGCGTCATAAGCAGTCAAGATGCTTGCTTTCTTCGTCTTTTGTCCAAGGTCAGTTTCAATCATCAGCTTCTTCACTTCATCCCACATCTCCTTAGCCGTTTCCATGCTATCAATCAGAATGTAAATATCATTTGGAATGGCCTGGAGCAGGTACGTCTTAGCCATCAGATATGCCTTGATTCTTAGCTTGTCTTCCTCAGTATATTCAGACTTAGTCTTCAATCTTCTATCAAGGACGACGGGAGGGTTGTTTCCATCATTTCCAGTCACCTCTACTCAAATTTCTGCTAGTCCTTGAGTGAGTGATTCAAGCATGGCAGATGAATTGTCTTTACCTTCAAGAAAGTTCAGAAATCTTGTCTTCCACATCTGATATTCTCCTCTTCTCAAGATTGGAGGTCTATTATCATTTCCAAATGCTAAAGCTTCTATCTTTGTTGTTTGACTTTAGAAAGACCGTTCGAGTGTTTAGATCAGAAAAAGAAATTTCAAGTACAGGATATCGAAAACCTAATTCAAGAAACAGTTCGAGAAGTTGAGTTCGAGTACTACTATCGAGAAGCAGTTTTCGATATTTAATATCGAAAACCTTGCTTTTGAAAAGCTGGTTCGAGAAGTAGCTATCGAGAACTTCAGTATCGAAAACTTAAGTTCGAGAATTTAGTTTTGAAAATTGAGTATCGAGAAGATGTATCGAGAACCTGCAAATTCGAAAAGAACAAGATATCGAGATAAAGTATCGAAAACTGAGTATCTAGAAGTTAAGCTCGAGAACTCAGTTCGAAAACTGTTATCGAGAACGTAGTATCGAAATCCTGCAAATTGGAAAAAAAAGAATTAAGCAGATAAAACAACTATTCGGTAAAGTCCTTGATCTCAAGATCCTTCCAGTATAGTTTTCAGTTCGAAAAACCTGCTTAAATGTCGAGAACTCTGCTTTTCGACATCATACTATCGAGAAATAAAAAACATTCAAGTTTACTGAAATTGAAAAAAAGATAGACCCTTGGTTCGTTTCTGAGAGGCGAATCCAATAATGGTATAACTTTTACAGTTTATCGATCAGAAACAAGATTACAGCAATTAAAACAGATAAATATTGAAAAGTATGAAAAACAGAGAACTTCGAAAACTTCTTCGCGTGATCAAACTCGAGTAGGCTCTGATACCAGTTGTTGGTCCCAGATTTCTGTAAACTAACACACAACTAGATGGTATTCATCGATAAACAGAGAAAGAGAAGATCTGATAATGATAAGGCAATATCGAGAACAGAGAAATTCTTCTTTCTATTATATCGAGAACTGTTTTGACAACGTAAGGCTAGAGAATGTATTCGTCGACTCTGGTACCTGTACAGGACGCACATATTTATAGGCGCTGTACATGTTACCTAATTAGGTATACATGGGAGTTTGGGCCTAAGCCTTTTTGGGCCTTATTTCCTCACTACCCATTATTACATAATAATACTAATACCATAAATGGTACATCTATTCTAATTTATTGAACAAGACATTACAGACAAACTTGATTCACAATAAAATAGTTCTAACAGTGGCATTTCAAGAAATGTTTGGTGGCATGATGGAAGTGGTTTTTGAAAAGAGGTGAATCAATCAAGTAATGGAAATTCAAGTAAGAACACATCAGGAAAACAGTCTTGGAGAAGCAATGGCAAAACTTGCCTGGTTTGACCCCGGGGTGGCCCGCACTCAATCCCAATGACGTATATGATCAAAGTAAGCCTAGAAATGACCAGAATAAGTGTATTACCTGCGACGGAGTCGGGATTAGCCCGAGCATCGGCCTCGGTCATTGCGTACACTCTCGCTTGAGTTCTTCCTTGGTTCACGGAGGGTGCGTTGCTTGTACTTGCCCCGCCGTGGTTCGCGCTTGCATTTGGTGCCCCACCCTGGTTTCTACTCACCATGGTTGCACTACTTGGTCCTGATGACCGGTTCCCACCAAGTTGAGGGCAATTGGGCTTTATGTGCCCTGTATCTCCGCATTGGTAGCACCGTGGGGGATCACGACATTTGCACTCGTGATTTCTTTTGCAATTCCTGCACTTAGGCTTCGTCGAGGCTTGTGACCCCGAGTTTTGCCCACCCATGTTGGGATTCCCCCTTGATGGTGGTGCGGGTGCCCTGAAGGATCCTCCTCCCCCGTGATTCCCCTTCTTGTTTGAACCCTGGGGGCCATGGTTCTCCCATTTTCTTTTCTTTGCCTCCTCGGCATTTCTTCGCTTCCTTTCCTCCCATTCCTTCTCCCCCTTCAAGCCTTGTTTGACCACTTGGCTAAACGTCATATTAGGCAATTGTGTTGCCCTTTCACGTATATCAAGGTCCAAGGCGTTCCAAAAGTGGTTCACCATCCGGTTCTCATCACAAATGTATTCCGGTATGAACTCAGCAAGTTTTCTGAACTTGTGCTCAAGCTCCTTCACCGTGCATTCACCTCCTTGGGTTAAGGTTGTGTACTCCCTCCTCTTTAAATTCACTTCAATGTCGGAGTAGTATTGGCTAAAGAATTCTTGCCGGAAATTCTCCCAGGTGACGGCCTCGCCGTACTTCCCTTTAGCTCCGTCCCACCATGTGGACGCCATGCCTTCTAGTAGTCTTGTGGGCACTCTCAACTTCATGTTTGGTGGCAGCTGCATATCCAGGGCCGCTTCATTGAATCTCTTGATCCACTCGGCCGCCACGGAGATGTCTCCCGTTCCATCAAACGGTTTACATCCCAAGTCTCTCGCCTCCTTTAGGTACTTCGAGATTCTTATGATAGGAACCTCGGCACCTCGCCCTCCTTGGGGTTCTATGCTTCCCCTAGGACTCACACGGCTCCCTCTCCTCGAAGCCCCTCTCAAAGCATGCCTTACCCGGCACCTTTGGCGATCTTGATGATATTGCCAGAGCAATTCCTCAATCCTTTCTACAGC